CTGTTCTATCGGAAACATTAATAAATGAAGCCCCCTGTCTCCGTTTCTTCCATCTCCCAAAGTCCCAGATATTTGCCAGGACTTTAGGAAATTATATATTTGGGAAGTCTATCAGGACTTAAAGGAGCAGCCATAGTTTATTGTGACAAAAGGTTATTTCTTCCTCTCACCCAATCTATGCTTAGTTGAGCCCACAAAGGAACAGTCGGACCGTAATCAGGATTTGGCTCTTTACGTAGTGGAGGCAGTTGCATCAGACGGGATTTGGAAGCTGGACAGAGGTTTGGCATCTTTACTCTATTTCTCCTTTCTGTAGTTCAGAACAAAGCTGGGTAGGCCCTCACAGTTTCCTGATAGTCATTTATAGTCCCTGGGGCATCCACTGGCTGAAGGATGTTCACAGTCTCTCTTTCCTTCCTAAAAAAAAGTAAGGGGGAAAAAGGCTGCTTCCCTTCCAGTTTCAGGGATCTCAGAATCATTGCAGAGGGAAACAATGGGGAACCTACAACTGGTCACCTAGCTCCTTGAACTAATTCCTAAAACTCACCATGGTGTCCAGCCCTGTACTACCCTGGTTCTTTGAAAAGCACACATATCTATGACCAAAAGTTCATAGGGATCAATTGTCTTTGGTCAACCTTAAGAAAGCATTTGCTGTACTGGTCTGTGGCCAACGGCACACAGGACTTTACCTTTCAGAACTTTTGGAGAAGTAACATCACCTTCATTTCTGCCTGAGATGCAGATGAAAAGCCATTAATTTAAAAGTCGCCTTAAATTAATGCATGCCAGCATGTCCAGGTACTCCTCAGATTTATGCATTAATTAAATAACAAACAGTACTGGGGGACATCTTAGTATCATGGACTGCAGCCAGAGCTAATCATTCCTTGATATCTGCTGTTCTGCTCAGAGGCAAGGGATCTGTAAGGAGCAAAACCTTCAAATAAGGTGCCTTCCTCCCCCATTCAAGCTGTGAAGCAGTTGTCATATAGTCACAATGAATTTAGACGGTAAGAATCATTACATCTTTCCTGATGATATACAGGTGACCACCCAGTTGTATTCATATTAGAAAAATGTGCCAATAATTAGAATGAGGGCAGGTGCTAAAACTCAGGTGAGTTTTCTCCATAAGTTAGTTGCTGCAGATTTTCTGGGTTGTGGGGCCGTGGTCTTGGCATTGTAGAACCTGACATTTCGCCAGTAGCTGTGACACAGAGAGTACGCCATCTTTCTGCGTTACACCACTGCGGATGCCAGTCACAGCTACTGGCGAAACGTCAGGTTCCACAATGCCAAGACCACGGCCACACAACTCGGAAAATCTACAGCAACTAATGAACTCCAGCCATGAAAGCCTTTGACAACGTATTTGTTTTAACTTACAGTTTTTAATGGGAGCTGACTCAAGAGCATTGTACTAGGAATGTAGATATACAATGTTTTAAATAAATACATTTTTTTAAAAAAACCACCAAGCCTATAGACTCATGAGATTTTGACTGCAACAAAAATCAATTAAAAAACGTTGAAGAGTTACCATTAAACTTGCATATAATCTTGATCCCTGGCAATCTGTGGTTGGCACTGCCAGCTGTGGCAGCCAGTTTTACGACTGTGCCCACTACCTTTGGTCAGAATTCCAAAGGGCACCCGCAGGCTCAAAGAGGTTGGGGACCCCCTGCGCTAAACTTTCCCGGGGACCCCCCTCTCCGACTGCCGTCCCAGACTCACACGAAAATATCGTCCCGGTCCAGGATGCAGCTCAGGGATTCTTCCATCTGATAGATCTTGTAGAAGCGGTGACTGAACACGTCCGCCACCATCATCTGGGAAGGGAGACGGTCACCCATTATGGAGGGGAAGGCGCGGGAGACGCTGGTCCGCGGGGGCCAGAGCCCTCTTCCCTCCTCTCCCGAACTCACCTGCTCGGATGGCACGCCTGTGTGCTTGGACAAGGTGCGGCAGAGGTCGAGCACTTTCCCGGCCTTTGGGACAATCAATCTGTGCTGTTAAAAAAACAAAACAGAGAGGGCAGGGTAAGGATATCGAGACCCAGACCTGGCTGGTACAGGCTAGTCTGATTTCATCAGCTCTCAGAAGCTAAGCAGGGTTAGTTAGTAAGGTCTCCCTTGCTCGAAAGCCAGTCGAATCCGACTCTAGGGTTGCGGTGCTCATCTCCATTTCCAAGCCGAAGAGCCAGCGCTGTCCAAAGACGTTTCCGTGGTCATGTGGCTGGCATGACTAGACGCCGAGGCGCACGGAACGCTGTTACCTTCCCACCGAAGCAGAACCAGAAGAGATCCGGGCCCTGTGGGACTTGGTGCCGTTCCGCAGGGCCTGTAAAACGGAGCTCTTCCACCTGGCCTTTGTGTAGGAGCCGCCGCCACCATCATTACGCCATCATCATCATCATGTTGCCATCATCACCATCCTTCTATCTACGCCCCCTATTGGTCCCGCAAATTGACCATCCCCAGAGCAGGGACTACTGGGGGTGCGAGACGTGCCTGGCAGAGGACAACGCTGTATGGACGTATATTGTTGCTGCTATATTTATTGTTATTATTGTTGCTTGTTGTTAGTATTTTCAGAACCCCACCCTGAATTTTATAGTTAACTAATTTTGGAGCACCGTAAAGTAAATTTTAGTGAACTGTAGTTAATGTATTCTATATTACTCTGTACTGGTTTAATGTTTTAACTTGGGCGTTCGTGCCCCTTGTGAGCTGCCCTGAGCCTTCGGGGAGGGCGGGATATAAATTTAAAGATAAATAAAATAAATAAATAAATATAAACCCGTTTATCTACTTGCAATTTCTTGCTTTCGAACTGCTAGGTTGGCAGGAGCTGGAATCAAGAGACGGGAGCTCACTCCGTCAGGCGGCACCCGGGTCTCGAACTGCTGAACTACTGACCTTCCGGTCTGCAGCTTCAGCTTCTTAACCACTTGAGCCACCGTCCGCAGGATATCGAGGCCCAGACATGGCTGGTCCTGGCTAGTCTGATTTCATCAGCCCTCAGAAGCTAAGCAGGGTTAGTTAGTACTTGATGGCAAAAAACAAAACAAAAGGATATCAAGGCTACCTGTGTACCCCACACAACCCTGACCTGGAGAGAGCCCATACGAGCCCAGTCCCATCAGACCTCAGAAGCTAAGCAGGATCAGCCCTGGTTAATATTTTGACACCAAGGGCATCCAGGCTTGTGACGCAGAGGTAGGTAACGGCAAACCACCTTTGAGATCTCTCGCCTTAAAAACCTTCAGGGGTTGCCATAACTTAGCTGCAACGTGACGGCACTTTCCACCATGAGAGACTGGGCACAGTACACGAAGGAACAATGTTTAAACTTGAGGCTTTCTACACTACAGCCTCTATGGTACCAGAGGAGAGGCAGCTGTGGAATCTGTTTGCGATATACCTCCACGACACTTACTTCAACACCAGATGTCACACTCCCAAATAAGCCTCTTTTTGTTGGACCATAGAATCATAGAAGGAAGGGGCCATACAGGCCATCTAGTCCATGCACGCGCTGATGGACGAAACAGTGTTGTGCCGCCGTCACGTCTGATCGTGTTCTGGTGGGTATAATTGCGCTGGCGCAAAGAGCCATGCCTGATTCTGCTTTTGCACAACTCTGACTGTAAAAAAGTTCTCCCTAATATCCAGCCGGTACCTTCCCGCCCTTAATTTCAACCCATTGTTGCGAGTCCTCTCCTCTGCTTCCAACAGGTACAGCTCCCTGCCCTCCTCTGAGTGACAGCCCTTCAGACACTTCAAGAGAGCCATTGTGTCCCCCCATCAACCTCCTCTTCTCCAGACTGAACATTCCCAAGTTCCTCAGCCTTTCCTCACAGGGCTTGGTGGTCTCCAGGCCCCCGATCACCCTTGTTGCTCTCCTCTGCACCCGCTCCATTCCATCCACACCCTTTCTAAAGTGGCACACAGAGACTGATACCACCCCCAAGACCATGACTATGTGTGGTAAGAAAACAGCAACTTGACAGCAAAAAAAGGATATCCAGATTAATATATCTCTGCGTACTCAACACAATTCTGGCCTGATTTAATCAGATTTCAGAAGCTAAGCAGGGTCAACCCTGGCTAGTATTTGGATGGGAGACCTCCAAGGAATATCAAGATTGTGACGTGGAGACAAACAATGGCAAACCACTTCTAAAACCCGACAGGGTCAACCTTACGACAGCTGTGACTTGACAGCAGAAAAACACATACATACAAAGTTGAACTCTGGACCCTCTTAACCACTTGAGCCACCGCAGGATATCGAGGCCCAGACCTGGCTGGTCCAGACTAGTCTGATTTCATCAGCTCTCAGAAGCTAAGCAGGGTTAGTTAGTACTTGATGGCAAAAAAGAAGGCTATCAAGACCCCACACAACCTTGACCTGGAGAGAGCCCATACGAGCCCAGTCCCATCAGATCCCAGAAGCTAAGCAGGATCAGCCCTGGTTAATATTTTGACACCAAGGGCATCCAGGCTTGTGACGCAGAGGTAGGTAACGGCAAACCACCTTTGAGATCTCTCGCCTTAAAAACCTTCAGGGGTTGCCATAACTTAGCTGCAACTTGACAGCACTTTCCACCACGAGAGACTGGGCACAGTACACGAAGGAACAATGTTTAAACTTGAGGCTTTCTACACTACAGCCTCTATGGTACCAGAGGAGAGGCAGCTGTGGAATCTGTTTGCGATATACCTCCACGACACTTACTTCAACACCAGATGTCACACTCCCAAATAAGCCTCTTTTTGTTGGATCATAGAATCATAGAAGGAAGGGGCTGTACAGGCCATCTAGTCCAACCCCCTGCTCCATGCAGGACCAGACTAGAGCATCCCTGACAAGTGTTTGTCCAGCCGCCAGGGAGATGTAAAGAGAGCGATCGTGTCCCCCCTCAGCCTCCTCTTCTCCAGACTGAACATTCCGGAGTCCCTCAGCCTTTCCTCCCAGGGCCCTTGGTCTCCAGGCCCCTGATCACCCTCGTTGCTCTCCTCTGCACCCGCTCCATTCCATCCACACCCTTTCTAAAGTGGCACACAGAGACTGATACCACCCCCAAGACCATGACTATGTGTGGTAAGAAAACAGCAACTTGACAGCAAAAAAAGGATATCCAGGTTAATATATCTCTGCGTACTCAACACAATTCTGACCTGGATAGCCTTTGAAAACCCGACAGGGTCAACCTTACGACAGCTGTGACTTGACAGCAGAAAAACACATACATACAAAGTTGAACTCTGGACCCGAGTCAAGTTAACAGTGAGACGGACTCCATTTTGATCTCTGGAAATCACCGTGGGCGACAACCAACCTCCGGGCATCCTTCTCCCCTTCCGATAACCAGTTTGGCCACTTTCTCATCCCTTCTCCCTTTATCTTCTCTCCATCCCCAAATATATACAAGCTACATTGCGGGGCTCATAGTTCCACAAAGCTTCAGAAGCAGCCTAAGTCAGCTCCCCACCAATGCTGCCTCTAAGCTATGGAGTCCTGTGAGCAAAAATCCTGCTCTGTGAGCTACCGGCATTAAAGTTGTGAGCAAGTGATTTGGCTTCTGGATAAATTAGTTTGCTCTGGAGCCATCCCTTCCTGAGCTAAGACAAAAATGTGTGAGCCAGAGGCTAAAAAACTGTGAGCTGGCTCACACTAACTCAGCTTAGAGGGAACACTGCTCCCCACCCCACCCCTGGAGGGGCTGGCCGGCACCTGCTCCGGTTTCTTGCTGGGATCCATGTAGACAAAGAAGATCTCCATGACCCGCTCCTTGCTGACGGGCAGAGGGACGCTGAGGTAGCAGAAGGGGTCGAAGGTCACGGAAACTTTCCCACACTCGGGGCACACCAGGGTCGACTTGAAGAGCCCATGGAAGATGTCGACGATGATGGAGTCGTTGCGGCGCTTGTGGTTCCGCCACGCCTCCTCTGCGACTTCCTGGAGAGAAAGGAAAAGCAGAAGCGGGTGAGCATCTAGCGCCGTCTCCGCGCCTTAGGGTGATCGATTCTGGTCCGGGAAATTCCTGGCGATCTGGAAGAAGCGCTTGGAGAGGGGAGCTCAGCTGGGCTGATTTATTTATCTGTCATATTTATACCCCGCCCTCCCCACCGAAGCAGGCTCAGGGTGGCTTACACAAAAAGATTAAAACACACAGATAACAATTACAAATAGTCATAGGTAAAGTTAAAGGTTCCCTTGCTCGAAAGCCAGTCGAATCCGACTCTAGGGTTCATCTCCGTTTCAAAGCCGAAGAGCCAGCGCTGTCCGAAGACGTTTCCGTGGTCATGTGGCCGGTATGACTAAACACCAAGGCGCATGGAACGCTGTTACCTTCCCACCAAAGTGGTACCTATTTATCTACTTGCAATTTCTTGCTTTCCAAAAACAGTCCAGTACCATAAAGTGCTAGTAAACGTTAGGTCTGATACGGATAGTATTTTTTAGCGATGGCGGCAGCAATTCAATAGTCTATTCTCTCGATCAGCTCCTTGTTCTGTATCTTTATGCAGCAGGCACAGGCTGTTGATGGTAACTCCGAACAGGGCTCTCTGCCTTCCAGTTATTGGGTGGGGCTCCTTAGTTGAAGGCCTGGTGGAGGAGCTCTCTTTCAGGCCCTGCAGAACTGCATAAGGTCCCGCAGGGCCCTGATCTCTTCTGGGAGTTCATTCCACCAGTATGGAGCCGCCACTGAGAAGGCCCTGGCCCTGGTTATGGCCAGCCTGGCATCTCTGGGACCTGGGAGGGCCAGTCAATTTTGGGACCCTGACTGCAGTGCTCTCTGGGGAACATGTGAGGAAAGGTGGTCCCTCAAGTGTGTAGGCCCCTGACCATAAAGGACTTTAAAGGTCAGAACCAGCGCCTTGAAGCGAATTCGGTATCCTATCAACAGCCAGTGCAGTGCTTTCAGCACAGGCTGGATGTGCTCCCACATAGGGAGACCCATCAAAAGCCTGGCCGCAGCCTTTTTGCACTAGCTGTAGCTTCCGGGTTTGAGACAAAGGGCAGTCCCATGTAGAGATCATTACAGTAGTCCAGTCTCGAGTTGACTGTCGCGTGGGATCACTGTTGCCAAGTCGTTGCGTTCGAGGAAGGGAACCGACTGCCTGATCAGCCGAAGATGGTAAAAGGCTGACTTGGCAGTGGCTGCTACCTGGGCCTCCATTGTTAAGGAGGCATCCAGGAGCACTCCCAAACGCCTAACCTCCGGCGCTGGGACCAGAGGTGCCCCCATCAAAGATTGGAAGTGGGATCCCTATGCTTGGGCCACCTCAGCTCAGGCACGGGACTTCTGCCTTTGTCGGATTCGATTTCAGTCGGCTCAGTCTAAGCCACGGCTTGTAATCTTCCTTGTAATCTTCCAGTGTAGAGTCAGACAGCAGATAGAGCTGAGTGTCATCTGCATACTGGCGACACCCCCAGCCCATGCCTCCGGGCAATCTGGGCAAAGGGGGGGGGGGTGCATATAGATGCTAAATAGCATCGGGGAAAGCACCGCCCCTTGGGGCACTCCACAGTCCAGTGGGTGCCTTCGGGGTAGCTGTTCTCCCAATGCCACCCTTTCTCCCCGACCTTGAAGGGAAGAGACAAGCCACTGCAAGGCAGGCCCCTGGCCTCCAGGGTCGGCGAGGCGGTGGATCAGTAGCCGATGGTAGACCGCGTCGAACGCTGCCGACAGGTCCAACAGCAACAGCACTACCGATCCGCCCTGATCCAGATGCCTCCGGAGATCGTCTGCGAGGGCGACCGGTGCTGTCTCTGTCCCGTGGCCTGGGCGAAAAGCGGACTGTCCATCAGAGCAGAGGTCCATCAGTGGCTATTAGCCACAAGGTATAGATAGGGACTCTTGGTCTGGGGCAAAGGATGCTCTGTATTCTTGGTGCTTGGAGGGGGGCAACAGTGGGAGGGCTTCTAATGTCCTGGCCCCACTGGTGGACCTCCTGAGGGCACTGGTATTTCTGGCCACTGTGTGACACAGAGTGTTGGACTGGATGGGCCTTTGGCCTGATCCAACATTGGCGTCTCTTATGTTCTTATGACTGGGAGGGATCTAAAACGGAAGCGTCATCCAAAAAGCTCTGCGACTGCATTGCCACAGCCCTCTCTATTATCTTGCCCAAATAGGGCAAGTTGGAAACCGGCCGGTCATTTGCCAATTCGGCCAGATCCAAGGATGGCTTTTTCAGGAGAGGGCGGACTGCTGCTTCCTGTAGTGCCCTAGGGAACAGTCCCTCCGAGAGGGACTTGTTGATCATCTCCCTTAGGGCACCTCAAAACCCATCAGGGCCAGCTTTGATTACCCACGAGGGCATGGGTCAAGGCAAGGGTTGTGATACCATGGAGTCTGCCCTCCAAAGCTCCCGTTCCCTCTAACGGAACCAAACTCTGTAGTTCGGTTGCAATTCTGGGAGAACTGCAGGTCCCATCCTTGAGGTTGGGAACCCTGCTGTCATATTTCCTGGCTAAGGCACCTGGCTGAACAAGGAAACTGGCAGTCAAAACCTTTGAAGACGTCTAGGCACCGTTTCTAAGCTGACATGCAGTGCTTCCTTCCGCCTCCCCTCCCACGTCTTCTTGTTCTTTATGTTTTACTATGTTTACGTTCTTTGAAGTTTCTTTTATGTTCTTTGAAGTCCAAGGGCAATTATTCAGATCAGCTCTTCTTAAACTGGGGGGGGGGGAGGAAACACATGGAAGGGGGGTTTGCCAGCATCTGTAGCCATCCCACAATACGGTTTGAGGACAATGGAAAGCTTCCAAGACTCAAAACAGAGGCCTTGGCAAGGTGCAAGAATGCCTTTCAGGGATACCTGGAGCCATCAGCACTGGGCTCCAATCCCCAGCCATCCTTCAGCATCAGGTCAAGTTACTCATGATCCAAAGGGCACCTCCGGTTCATTCTGGCTGCTGTGTTATTTGCTGCAGCCCAGGTTAGTAATCAGGGCCTCCGTGGAGAGCCTCCAAATTCTTTCAATAGTCATGGTAAAGAGTGATGGACTCTAATCCGGAGAACCGGGTTTGATTCCCCACTCCTTCACATGCAGCTGCTGGGTGACCTTGGGTCAATCACAGTTTCTCACAGAGCTGTGCCTCAAAGGGTGTCTGTTGTGGAGGGGGGATGGGAAAGGAGATTGTAAGCCATTCCGAGATTCCAAGGGAAGGGCAGTGTATCAATCCAATCTCTTCTTCTTCTTCATTTGAACAAGTGAACATTGACTCACGAAAGCTCACCTCCTGCCACTTTAAGGTGCTACTGGAATCTTGCTCTTTTCTACTGCTACACACAGACTAAGATGGCTACCCATCTTGTTTCATTTTTCAAACACACAACACCATCCGAAAGGAACCTCAACTTGGGATCTCCGTTCAGTCGCCCTCATTCTGCACTGTTCCCGTGCATCACACACTCCCCTGTGGCTGTATTTCTCATGACTCCCATCCTGGATACTGTTGCTGCTTTCTGCCATTTAAAAACAATGCTTATCTTATTCCAGCGGTGTTTCAGCGACTGAGTACAGCTTACGTTTTCTTTAACAAGCTGCCTCAAGCGGTGCTGGAGAGAGGCAGGCTATATAAAGCTACTAGAAACATAATAAGGCCCTTAACACTCTGTCCCCCCCTCTCCTTCACCACCTTCTGTAAAACTCAACACCCCTTAACGGGGCTGATCCAAAATGCATTACGAGTGGCCCTGGCAGAAAGGCATGACATTCCCAACAACAGGGGTCTCCAACACAGTACCCCTGGGCTCCATGACGGCCACTAACACCCTCCCTGGTGGTCACCGGGTGTTTTTAAGAAGTAGGAGGGGCCGGGGGGAGTTTTTGCCTGGCAAATCTTCTTGTGGGCCACTGTAGATCTGATCAGCCCTGCAGATTTTTAAGAACATGGCTTTGGCAGCAGCTGCCACCGCAGCACGATTTGGTCACCCCGAATCAGAATCCCCAGCAGCTGCTCAGCGATCCCCTCTCACCTCATCCGGCCGCCCGGCAGCATCCTTAAGCTCGATGTACTCCTTCTTCTTGACGCGGTTCAGGTCCTCGTGCAGCCCGTCGAGCAGAAAGGAGAGAAGCTCCTGAGAGTCGTGCTGCTGGTAGCCAAGGAACTGGGAGGCGAAGTGACCCACTTTGGTCTGTGGGGGAAGAGAAATGCAGGATGGTGGCTATGAGCCACAAGGTAGAGATGGAACACTCTGTCTGGGGCAGTGATGCTCTGTATTCGTGGTGCCGGAAGGGGACAACAGTGGGAGGGCTTCTGGAGTCTGAAGGACCTTCTGATGGCACCTGGGTTTTGGCCGCTGTGTGACACAGAGTGTTGGACTGGATGGGCCACTGGCCTGATCCAGCATGGCTTCTCCCATGTTCTTATGTCTGGGGCAGTGATGCTCTGTACTCTTGGTGCTTGGGGGGAGCAACAGTGGGAGGGCTTCTGGAGTTCTGACCCTGCTGGTGGACCTCCCTTCGGCACCTGGGTTTTGGCCACCGTGTGACACAGAGTGTTGGACTGGATGGGCCACTGGCCTGATCCAACATGGCTTCTCTTATGCCCTTATGTCAGTGACCTTCAGCTCCATGAACAGAAAGGAAGGGAAAAGAAAAGGCAGATGTGGCTAAGCAGAGGGGCCTTGGCTGAGTGGCAGAGCATCTGCTTGGCACGCAGGATGTCCCAGGTTCGATCCCTGGCACTTTTAGTTTCAAAAGGACCAGGAGAGCCGCCGCCAGCCGGCAGTACAGACCTTGACAGACCGAAGGCCTAAAGCAGAGGTGTCAAACTCATTTGTTACGAGGGCCGGGACATAAATGTCACTTTGTTGGGCCGGGCCATGTGCGCCATAAAACATAATGCCAGGTACCGGAGATATAAAAGGACAGCAGCTGGTAAGCTCCGAGTTGTTGTATCCTCAGTGCAAGGCCCCATCATGGGCTGGGAGGGGGGTGCAAAGGGAAACCCATATGGGCGGACTGGAGAGCCAGTGGTGCAGCACTGGGCAGATGCTCCCACAATGCTTGACTGCTGCAGACAAGGGTTGTTCTGCTGTGCTGAAGCCACAATCGGAGTGGCTCCACCTACACTCCCCCCCCAAGCACTCCTTCCCTTGCATCAGTTGCTCACGGGCCGCATAAGAGCCCCGGAAGGGCTGGTTCCGGCCCCCGGGCCTTATGTTTGACACCCCTGGCCTAAAGCACTTTTGTGCGCCCGGCTCACCTTGAACATGCGAGGCACAATGGAGCGGTGGTGGCCAGACCACTGCTGCTTAATGAGGTCAGCGTAGGCTTCCGCGATTTCCCCCTTCATTCCCAGGGGGTTTGTGAAGTTGAGCTCCTCCAGGTAGCCGTTCTTCAGGAAGTACTCCGTGAGAGAGGGCACGTTGCTCAGACACTGCAAAAAGGACAGGAAGCCCTTCACGAGAGAGGCACTCGGCCGGGCCCGCGGCTGTTAT